AGGCGATTTATTGGTTTACAGTAAAGTTTTAACACAAAGAAACAACTTATTAGGTGAGCACTTATAACAATCACTTTGTTTTTGACTTATTTTTGTTCATTTGTTATAATGATTGTCAGAATATACCATAATATTCGTGCCATAAAGAGATAATTTATCCTCCAATTGAAGTTTTATTGGTTTGTTTTTTCTTGTGTTCAATAGATAACTTTGACGGATCCACACAATGCCTGTCGTTGGGCGATGGTATGTATCAAAAGTTGCCTTTTTCTTGACATCAGCCGCACTCTGAACTCCAGACCAATAAATCTTAGGCCCGATTGCATTGCTGTACACAATTCACACGATAAAGACTTTTGTCAAACATTTTTCTTGTTCCGCATAGCAGTAATACATTAGTGAATTGTTTTGTTAACACTTCATAATATTAATAAATTATTAGAGATATTATTGATAGCATACATACAATAGTGGCATAAATGTGAACCAATTATTATGATTACAGACTCGTCACGAAAGGGCAAATTCTCGTTCCTAAAGCTGGTAAGTGTTGACTCCGATCGGTGTTTCCCGCATGTGATCATTAATGTTATACTTATATTTGTCTCCACACTATCGCTGCCCGAAACTTCTTCTCTACTCTTCCTGTGCTGTATATCTTTGATGTCATTGATGTGATGTATGGGTACTGTCTTTGTATTGACGGTCACTTTGGGTCTTCTTTCTGTGTCTCTTTGCATTTCACTCTCTGTCCGTCCAAATGTGCGTCCAGTTTGACAGGTCTGGTCGGGGAAAGTCCGACTCACTCTGTGGTCTCGAGGAAGTGCTCTCCACTCTTCAACCGTCCGTTTTCAACGACGAACAGCTCTCCAAATATAAGGTACAGTATTTGAGGCATTCAATTGTGTGGTCAACTATTTCTCACAATGGATTACATCCGACCTCAGGGTTTGACGTGGAATGACTTCATGGGTCAGTTTGAAGAGAGGAGAGCCTCGGGTTCATCGATGGTTTCGGGATATCGTCTAAATCAGCCCTCGTACGAAAGTCGTCGTTCTTCAGCTAACCTGTCGATTCCGGGCAATACTCCAGTCATTGTCGCACATCAACCGCCTTCACCGCAGAAGAAGAAACAGCTGTTGAGAACGCAGACCTTTGACAGTACGAACTCCAGTGATATCAATGAGGAGAACCAATTGGCCATATCTGCTCACTCGACGCGAAGCCACAGTTGTGTCTCTCCGGTTCACATACCGGATATCCGGCGCTTAAGTCGCGGTCCATTGAATCAGCCGAGTATTGACTCCCAGGACTTGACCGAGAGTTTCGACACAGACATGCATTCGCCGCCGCACTCGGCTCTGAGTAGCGCGCGATCCAGTATTATGTTGAGCCGATCCGAACACAAACGCAAAGAAGCCCTTTGGGATCTGTTCCAGAGTGAGAGTGTCTTTCTCTACGACCATCTAATGGTTCTAAAGAATGTCTTTATGGAGCCGTTGAAGAAGATTCAGGTGGAGGGCTATGCGATGTTCGCCGAACCGGAAGTGCTGTTCGGCAATTTGGACGAACTCTGTTGTGTCACTTATGCCTTCTGTAAAGAGTTTCTCAATGTTATCCTCCAATACGTGAACACCAGTACAGAAGTCAATCCCACAGATATTTTAGT